ATATTTGAACAAATATTTATTGAGGGTCTATTATAAACCAGTAGAGCTAAATGGTGAGCAACACCAAACTCAACCTTTGCTCTTAAGTCTTACATACTAATTGACGAAACTGTATTAATCAAATAGATCTAAGATTACAACTGTGAAACATGGTGTGGAGGAGAAATGCAGTTTTATGGGAATAAATAATAGAATCTTAACTAGGGGGTCAGGGAAGGCTTCCCCAAGGAAGTGACACTGGAGCTGTAATCTGAGATATTGAGCTGAACAGCTTAAGTACTAACAACTTAAGTGAACGTAAAAAGACAGTCCAGGCCAGGCGCGGTGGCTCAAGCCTATAATCCCAGCACTTGGGGAGGCTGAGGCGGGTAGATCACGAGGTCAAGAGATCAAGACCATCCTGGTCAACATGGTGAAACCCCGTCTCTACTAAAAATACAAAAAATTAACTGGGCATGGTGGCGCATGCCTGTAATCCCAGCTACTCAGGAGGCTGAGGCAGGAGAATTGCCTGAACCCAGGAGGCGGAGGTTGCGGTGAGCCGAGGTCGCGCCATTGCACTCCAGCCTGGGTAATAAGAGCAAAACTCCATCTCAAAAAAAAAAAAAAAAAAAAGTTCAGGCAACAGCAAGACCAGTGGCAGGCCTTGAAAAAGCATGATGAGTTACTGCTACCTCTCAAGAGCAAAGGCAGGAGTAGCAAGAGATGAGACAGGGAATCAGAAAACCACTGGACTAAACTAAGCCAGGTTTGGGGGCTGGAGAAGGGGTGGGAGGAGGGTGGATATGATCAGATTACCGTTTTCAGATTATCCTGACTACATTGAAGAAACAAGGTGAAAAGAAATCCAAATGGTTTTGAGTAGACCAGAAAGTATAGACCACTGTAGTCCAGAAAAGAGACAACTGTATCTTGAATTGAAGTAATATAAATGGAGACAGTCAGATAAATGGTCAGTACCTGATAACAAACTGGACATGGGAGGGAGAGAAGGAGGTATCATCAGTGCATTCCAGATTTCTGGACTCCGCAACTGAAAGGACAATAATGTTATGTGCAGACATGAGAAACACTGGGACAAACCCAAGTGTGAGTGGAGGTGGGCAGGTTTTGAGGGGCTGCTTCCTCTCCTGCCTCTAGCATAATCACTTTGTTTCCTTTCTATCACAACAAGACTTCTCAACCTCCCATTCTGTGGTCCAATAACAGTGACACATCCACTGCCTCTCATATGCATAGTGCTTAAGAATAAAGCCATTGCCCACGCAGGTCCTTCCACTTGGAATTTCCTTCTTGTATTAGTCCATTTTCACAGTGCTATAAAGCACTGCCTGAGACTGGGTAATTTATAAGGGAAAGAGGTTTAATTGGCCCAGGGGAGCCTCAGGAAAGTTACAGTCATGGTGGAAGGGGAAGGGGAAGCAAGGACCTTCTTCACAAGGTGGAAGGAAAGAGAAGTGACGAGCGGGGTGTAGAGCCCCTTATTAAACCATCAGATCTCATGAGAACTCATTCACTATCACAAGAACAGCTTGGGGGAAACCACTCCCATGATTCGATTATCTTCACCTGATTTGTCCCTTGACATGTGGGGATTAGGAGTCTTGCAATTCAGGATAAGAATTGGGTGGGGACACAAAGCGGAACCATATCACTTCCTCACTAGTTAATTCCTTTTTATTTTCTAAAATCCCAGCTGAGACATCCAAGTAACCTTTTCTATCCCAGTAGTTTTATACTCATGCCAATCTCAACTTGAAATTTTCTCTTTTTGTGCTTTTGTGCAGTAGACTCAAAGTTCCTCAGAATCAGGAAATGGAACTTGTGTTCATATTTGCATCCCTGGTGCTAGCACAGGGTTTGACATATACCTGATGTTCCACAACTCTCTTTTCATTATGGATAAAGAAAAATGGGTATGGATCAATGTTATAACTTCCTCAGAGTTACTGAACTCAGGTCAACTTGCTCGAAGGAGTCACAGCACTGACCTCACACTCTATTTCCTGTGTCTGCCATATTGACATTAGCTAAGGGCTGGAAATGTTGCTGTCTATTGTTGGGGTGCTTATTAGTCACAGATATGAAGAATGGCTTGAGCCATTTCCTGGGAATCAGGAAAATGGGAATTGTGAACTGCAATTCTGCTGTTAACTTGTGAAACCTGTACCAATTAGAGACTCCAGAAAAGCTTGAATGAGGATATTTGGCAAATGGGAGACAGAGAGCCATGGCTTCCTGAAGCAAATCATGTGTCTCTTTGCACTTGCGAAACCAGATTGGTAGGGAAGAGGATAAACAGTGTCATTGTGATGGAGTCCGGGCACTGGCCAATCAAGCTCCTTCAAACAACTTCACTGGCATCAACATGCCATGGAGAGGCCCTGGCAGCATTATTTCTTGGGAATTAAGAGATGCAGAGTTTGAAGGGGCCTGTTCCATGGAAACCACATTATGAAATCCCACCAGTGGTGCTGCTGGGACCACAGAGGGTCAAGATTTTTCCTTCTGTTTTTCATGACAGCAGTTTAAACCCAGGGATTTTTCCTTTTATACCCAGAAATATTTTTCTTTTTCATTTTTTTTAATCTGAAAACACTAAATGTTTCTTCACATTTGTATCTAGAAATGCCTATGTGCTCAACCATTATGAAAAAGTAAAATTTTTTTCTCCAAGTTATCAAAGTATGCTTTTCAAAAATCAAAAACATAGTTCTTGTACAAATATATAACAAGCATATATTCAAGATGTATTTAACTCATTAGTGAGGAGACAGGCAAGATAATTTTGCTCATTAATGAGGAGATAGGCAAGAGGAAAAGCTGGTTCAAAGGCAGATGCAAAAAACCGATGTAGCTGTAGCTAGCAGGGGAGAACTGCTGAGCAAGATAGCTGAGTTAGGTACAAAATTAGATACCGATTTTTATTGGTCTGGTTCCACCAACCAATAAAACCGTCTTCAGAATTGTCTTCTCTGCTGGACTCAAAACATTTTCACCTCTACTAGGCAAAAACCATTTGTACTCTATCATTTTCTACATGTCAACATCTAACTTGACCACATCTGTGCCCCACTTGATAGTAAATAACCAGTTACATTTTCATAGAGTCAGATAGGTCTCTTTAAACATTAAAAGGATATATAATTTTCATGTTGCCTGCTTTCCAAGTTTTGAATACATTTTCTTAATTAAAAAATCACATGGGGACATGACATACCCATTGATATTCCAACATACCCAAAGTATGTTTCAGGTGACAAAGGGAGATGAAGTTACAGGGGAAAGAAGAAAACATGGACCCTGGCTCCAGAGATTGCTTTTAAAAAAAATCTTCTAACTGATTGTGGAGATTTTTCCTGTCAAGAAAACAATAAGCCCTCCCTTGGGATTCTGACTGCAGGTCTCTTGCTGATGGGGAGCTGAATGATGCCATTCTTCACATATCCCAGCTGCTTGTTAAGCTCTATAGATTACAAGGGGATTTCATCACTTGGCTGGTCCTTCTATTCATTACATTTTACTTCTTTCATTTATTTGTGTCCCAGGCACTGTTTTAGGTGTTAGAGATCTAACAGAATAAAGACATATGGCTTCCACCCTCATGGAATTTACATTCTGGTAGAGACTGTGACAAGTAAAAAAAATAAAGTAAACAAATACACAGAATCATCATGAATTGTGAGACTGCCATCATTCTGTGATGAAAGCAGTAAGAGGGGTCTGCTTTGAATAAATTGGTCACTGTGACCTTTATGAAGAGGCAGCATTTACACAGGACCTGAGGCATGAGAAGGTGTCAGTCACGTGCAGAACAAGGAGGATGTTCCAGGCATTTGGAACCATAAGTGAGTGTGAAAGAAGGAAACAAGGAAGACAGTAACATAAGCAAAGACCAGAAAGGCGGACCGAGGCAAGATCATGAAAGTCTCCACAGGTCACAGCAAGAAATTTTGAATTTGTTATAAAAGAAACAGAAAGCCATTAAAGGGTCTTGTGCAGTGTAGCACCTCAGTTTGTATTTAAAATGATCAATTATGGCTGCATTTAAAATGATCATCCATGGAAAATGAATTCGATGGCAGGGCTGAAAATAGGAAGCATCCATTTGGTAGTTGACTGCGGTAGCCTATACAAGATATGATAAGGTCAGATCAATGTGATAACTGTAGAGATTATGAACCGTAGGTGGTTTTGAGATGTATTTTGGAAGTAGGATCACAGTAGGCCTTGCTATTGGATGTGGAACATGTGAAAAAAGGATTCAGAAATCTCCTGGGTTTATGTAACCAATGCATAATAGTACTATTCACTAAGTGGGTAAGATGGTGATTTGGGGAATGGAGGTGGCAGAATTGAGATGATTTAGGCAGGGAGTAATCAAGGTTCCATTCTGGATTTATGAAGTTTTCAAGATTGAATGGATTTTGACACAGCCAGGTGGAGATTTCAAGTAAGTAATTGGATACGAGCCCGAAGCTCAATGAAGAGATCTAGGCTTGAGGTATCAGTTGAGAGTCTCAGAACATAGACGACATGTAAGACTCTGATAATAGATGAAATCCCAAAGGTAAACATGCAAATAGCCAAGAGGTTCCAAATCTGAGAGACTTGCGTTAAATATGCAAAAAGTAAATTAATAGTACCGAAAGTTCAACATTTCCATGTCTTTCTTAACTTTTACTGAAACTGTCCAACCATGTTGTGATTTAGTCTAGTCTTTTGCAGAACATCCTTAGTGACTGTGGTAACTCTCATGTGCATGTTATTAGATGCAATGACTGTCAGGAGATTCCAACTGTGCATATTTTGAAAGTGCTATCCATCTCCTACTCAGTATCACTGAATTCCCAAGAGAATAACACAGAAATAATATTTTCCTTCTCAGTGGGCTTCCAAACACTTTCTGGTACCCTCTTTCTTGTCTACCAAGAGCTCTCCTGAGAAAAAGGAGGTAGGAAGTGCGAGGATATCAGGCAGCAGTGGAGGGAAAATGTTACCTCTTCTTCTTCAAGTAGAATGAGCCGAACCACAACAATATGAATTGCATTGCCAATACTTGGGTTATGGAACAACCCAGTGACCTAGGGTCAGAAAGAGAAAACCATTAGGCCCACATAAAGAAATGATAAATAAATACCAGAGTAGAAAATAGCATTGTAATGCACATAAAATAAATGTTTTCTTATAGGTCAGACATGTTTGGTGGTGTGCTAAGAGTGAAATATGCCCACAGCTCATTCCACATTACAGTTTTTAAAGACAATCTTTCAGGGTGATTCCTTGGCTGTGTGTTTGAGGGATTAACATTTTTCTTTTCTTAACTCAGGCCACAGTATTCTCCTCTTTTATTATCAGTTACTCAGGCAAATGCCTTTTCCCATCTCAACAGAACTAGCACCCTCTTGAAGGCAGAAAACATCAGTAATGCAAAGAGGAAGCTCAGAATTAGGAGTCATTAACTTTATTCCAATTCTATTTCTAACTACTTTGAGGAAATTATGTTCTACTTCTTTGCCTCAGTTTACTCCTTGGTTTACTAACATAAACCAATGAGACAAAGCCACACTGAAAGGATTGAGTCACTTGTAAATACCTATCGGAAATATGTAACTAATAAATTATGACATATTCCCAGGATACCCATTTTTAAGGGAAAGAATAATTTATCCTGAATTTTCATCCATATTCATCCTTAGGCAGGTGCTAGATTCACATATATATTTATAAAAAATAACTTAAAAGAACCAAAAAAGGCATTTCTTATTTGTTTGTGTAAGCATTTCTAATGACATCTATCCACCAGCTGCCCCACCCCCACGTAGTCAGGCATACCATGTTCATGATGGTGAGGATGTAGGACTCCACATTCTCACTCCCATGGTATTCAATCATCTTTGTGTCAGCTACCACCAGCGTCTCCACCCATCTCTCCTTGCTGATAGAACGCCGAGAGAGGCTTCTGCTTGGCAAGTTGTGCCTCTCCCACTTCTCCCGCCATAGCTCTTGCTTCTGGGAGATGTTAACACTGTCTAAACAGTAAACAGAAGACAATGGTCTAACACTGTATATGTCTCATATATTATCTACTTATATTTGTAAAGATGCAAGGACATAAGCTTAATTTACATTTAAAAATATAAACGCAATGTTTTTATATGCATGGCTGAAATAGATCAATTTAAATGACTATGACCAAGAGAAATTTGAATCTTACAGAGAAATTCCAACTATGTATATTTTGGAAATGTTATCCATCTTCTGCTCAGTATCACTGAATTCCCAAGAGAATAACACAGAAATAATGTTTTCCTTCTCAATGGGCTTCCAAACACTTTCTGGTACCCTCTTGCTTGTCTTCCAAGAGCTCTCCTGAGAAAATGAAAGTAGGAAGTACGAGGATATAAGGCAGAAAAGTGGAGGGTAAATGTTACAGAGAGGTTTAAAAAGTACTTTATAAAAATGTTTGTTACCTACTACATTAAAGTATGTCTTCCACTATCGAAAAGACAACCAACAATGGGAACTTTCTCTTTCTTCTCCTCCTTTAATTATTCAGTGCCTACTGAGTGCAAGACAATAGACCTGGCTTTTAAATGTTTATCCTCATGAACGGGTTGTTTATTCCACTGTTTATCCTCATGAATGACTGAGGTGGAAACTGATGCTCAAAGTGGCTGGTTAAATAACTTTCCCAAAGTTGGGCAGCCTATCAGTAAAAGATCCAGTAGTTTCTATGCCAGCATTTAAAAAATATATACCACACTGTCTCCTATAGAGTCAACATGTATAAGCTGAAATTGCAGAAGGTTCCAGGCATTACACTTGAAGAAGGCACGGAAAGAGGTGGGAAAGATCCAAAGAAGGGCAGCGAAAATTATCAAGATTTTACTATGAAAATCTTGATAATTTTAGTATTAAAAGGATTTTAGTATGAAAAGGATTTGATATATGTGGGTTATGGTTTGGAAGACAAAATCTAGAGAGGCTATAGAATTATAAAGAAAGTCAGACAGATAGCTACATAGAATCATTCTTTAAAATCCCAGAATACTGTAAGTAGGGAGCACATTCTAAATTGAAAGAGGTCTGTTTAAAACCAAAACTAGTGAAAAGCTACTTCACACATCAGGGAGCAAGTACTTAACCCAAGTGGAGAGCAAGTGTAAAAAGTTCCAGAGGGCTCAGAATGGCTTAGGGTGCAGAGAAAAGAGGGACTGACCAGACGAGAGAAAAGAAAGATGCTGGGGCTGATACAGGGGCAGCATCTGGGTCTTTGAAGATTCCTATCAGGATCACAGTCACAAACACCTGCCTCTCCCTCATCTGCACCCTGGGCCCCTGGCAGGGGCAGAACATCGAAGCAGAGTGGCAAACTTCATGTCCTTTTCCTAATCTCTGGTAATGGCCATCCAGTCTGAACTTGAATACCTTCAGCAGGAGGGGACACTCAACAACTCACAGGGCATCTTGTTCTGTTGGGAAATTCTCAACTGCACTGAGCTGAAACCTGCCTGTCTGTCATTCCTCCTCGTTAGTTCTAGTCCTGTTCTCTGAAGCATCTGAAACTATACCCGATCTGAGGCCCTGCCTCAGACTATGAGTGGGGACAGCTAGCACCATATCCTTCCCATTCCCCTGGTGCTCTCTGGGCCATGGAGTTGTGTATACGGTTGGTGTGTAACCCTTCCTGGTTCCTCAGTTTCACTGTCCATATAAAGTTAGAACACATTCAGCAATATTGACAAAAGAAATGAAACTTCATCATAGATCTAAATAAATTCAAACTTTAGCATTGTGAGTTTTGCTTCAAAATAATAATGCTGTACATTATAACACTTTTGCGAAATAATCTGGGATTATGTAAACTTTGGAGGGAAGTCTTCTGAAGGTTTAAAAATGGGGAGGTGGTTAACCCCTCATCTGCACTAGAACCATTTTCTGGTTTCCTTCTCCAGTCACTTTGCCTGGGGAAGCATGAATTCCCTAAGAAATGTCAAGATTTTACCAATGGTTTCTAACTTTCTGACCCCCTCCTCCCTTTCCTGATCAGCCTTTGGTCCCTTTTTTAATTTCATGGGAATGTTTTCAAACCACTATCTGCTTTCAGATGTCTCTGTGTAAGCCAAGCAGCCAGCCACTTTTGAGCCCACGTAGGCTGGTGTTTTCTCAAAGGGCCATTACAGGTTGGGCTGAGTACAGGAATCCTGTCAACATAGATTCAGTTCTGTCTTTCTTTCAGGCCCCTCCCATCTTGCTGGGTGGGATCAGGTCTGCCTTAACCAGGAGACTGCTCCCTGCTGCCCTGATCTTGTGTGTGAGTGTGAGTGGCAGGCAGTTTTCTCACCCAGTGCCCTCACCAAGCCCTTGAGGTCTTGGTCCTTCTTCTCCCTTGGCCCCTGCAGCCTCGGCCTCCCTCCCCTGGGTGCCAGTCCCCTCACAGAGCCCCAGCTCACCTCAGCAGGCAAAGACTGCCCAGCACAGCCCTTCATTAAAGCAGAACACTGTGCGCCTGGCTGCAGCCTCTGTCCCCACCCTCAGATGTCTACGGTTAGGTGCTAGTAGGAAGCTGTCATGGGTGAGAAGCATGTAGAAAAAAGTAGTTTCTCTGCTTCCCTTAGTCCTGTATTTCTCTACTTACTTCTTTATTCTCCCCCTTTTTACCTTTTATCTCTCAGTGTTGAAAAAGAGAGTTGCTGAGCACTGAATGTTTGCATCCCACCCAGACGCAGATGTGGAAGCCCTAATCCCCAGAGTAATGGTATTTGGAGGTGAGGCCTTTAGGTGGTAGTTAGGCTTAGATGAGCTTGTGACAGCAGAGCCCCCATCACGGGATTAGTGTCCTTATAAGAAAAGGAAGAGACATCAGTGCCCTCTTTTTCTCTCTGAGAGAGACACAGACAGATGGGGACACAGCAAGCAGATATTTACATCTCTCTCTTGCTATAGGTATCTATCAAGAGATATCTATATCAAGAGGTATATAGATAAACTTATGTATTGGTAGGCATATAGATATGTCTCTCTATATAGATAGATATATAAATACATCTCTTGATATAGATATCGCTCCATATAGATGTATATTGAGGCAGAGAGCTGTATATATCTTCTTGCTGTGTCCTCATCTGTCTCTCTCTCTGAGAGAATGAGAGGGCTCTCATATATATATGTGTATATATATATATACACACACACATATAATATACATATATAAATGTATACATATATATACATATATACGCACACACATATATATATGGAGAGAGAATACATTCTCTCTATATAGCTGGATAGAGAGATATCTATATCTAGCTATATAGAGAGCTACATTCTATATAGCTATATATATATAGCCATGTATATATATATATGTATAATATATATAGCTATATATAGAGGGAGCTATAGAGAGATGCATTCCTCTCAGATATATATATAGTATAGAGAGATACATTCTATATGTATGTCTATATGTATGTCATACATACATATCTATATGTAGATAGATATAGATATAGATAGATATAGATATACATAGAGATATATAGAGAGTGAGAGGGAGAGAGATCTTGCACTTGGACTTCCAGTCTCTAGAATTGTGAGAAATAAATTTCTGCTGTTTAGGACATCCAGTCTACAGCATTTTTTTATAGCAGCCTGAGCTATCTAAGACACGAGTTTTTTTTTGAAAGACATCTTTAAAGTTCAAGTTACTTTCATTTTTCTAGCAAATAGGTAGTTACTCAGTAGTAAACATTCATATAGGAGGAAATGTGGAAATGAGAGATGGGGTCTTGTAAAGGCATATATATATATATATACGCATATATATTTTAAATTTTCAACAAAACCTACATTAAGCACTTATTAAAGTTCAGGTTCTATACGAAGCACATAGCTCATTTAAGTGTGCCAACAAATCTAAGAGGTAAGCCCTCTTATGATTATTATTGTATGGATGAAGAACTTTAGGTTGAAAAAGATTAGGTAATTTCCCCAGAGTCACATAGTAAACAACAGATTCAGCCATCTGTCTGATTTCACTACAGCAACAACAAACATTTATACAATAGATTCCCTGAGCAAGGCCCAAGTTACTCTCCTGAATAGAGACAAAAAGTATGTGACATGATTCTTGACTTTATGCAACAACCAATCTACTTAATGAGACATGAACATAAGAAAAATTATCATCATTGGGTTTCAAGTAATTCCCAAACAGAGATATCAGTTCTATTGTAGATAGTGCCGGGAGCTTTGCAGATGTGGTAGGATCTGAACTGGGCCTTAACAGAACTGAGCTGGGGGAGAGGTCTGTATATATGTGAGCTGACTCTACAGAATTCTAGTGAAATCTCAGATTTGGCGGAAGAAATGTTTCTACTAAGCAATTTCAGAAAGTATGAGAAACCAACCCTACACATTTATCTCCAAAGCTGATGACAAAGCCAGCTAGTTCTTTGGGTCAAGTAAGGGCTGATGATTCTGGAAGGCTCCTTTCGCTATTTCCCACCGTACACACACTCTGTTTAGACACCCCTCTTCTCCACCGGCATAGCTTCTGGCCACACCTCAACACTTTTTTGTTTTTCTGAGATGGTATCTCATTCTGTCGCCCAGGCTGGAGTGCAACAGCATAATCTCAGCTCACTGCAATCTCCGCCTCCCGGGTTCAAGAAATTCTCCTGCCTCAGCCTTCTGAGTAGCTCGGATTACAGGTGCTTGCCACCGTGCACAGCTAATTTTTGTATTTTTAGTAGAAACAGGGTTTCACCATCTTGGCCAACCTGGTCTTAAACTTCTGACCTCATGATCTACTTGTCTTGGCCTCTCAAAGGGCTGGGATTACAGGAGTGAGCCACTGCCCCAGGCCTGGAGTACTTTTTATATTGCTATAATTTCCTGTTACTTAAGGGGCTCTCTAATTAGGATTTAAACAACTAAAGGGCTAGAAAAACATCTCCTTTGGCCTTTGTTCTGATCCCAACACCATACCTGGCAAAAGCGTCACCCAGTAAAAACCAAATGC